GCCGCTTGTTTACCTTCAAGCCTGTAAGACCCCAGATGCTATATCTTTTGATAGCCAGGCACCATCAGCTTTCCTTGCCACATTTGCTTATGCACCCATTTGTCTTCAGCGATCATATCAGGGATGTGAGCACACAATGATATGATTTTTTGTTCTTTGATGCATTATAACTGATCCCTTCAGCACCTCGTGATCATGCAGGCTGGTCCTCACCCTTACTTCTCAGGAGCATTCTGAGCACATTTTTTCCAAGATAGGTTTGCTCATCCTTTTGGCATGGTATATAATATTCTTTACCAACACAAGAAGCAAAGGCATCAATTCTTCTTCCATCTTCCTTATTCATTGTCCAGTGCTGGTATACATACATATTGATTGAAAATACCATGGTTGGAGTCATGCACACCTTAGTCCTCAAAGCTAGGTCTTTGCTTTTTTAACACCTTAAAGAGTTGTGTGTCTGTGCATTTATTTTGTTTGCTTGGTTGGGTTTGCAGTAGATTTGCTGTGTGCAATATATCATTTGGTTTCTTGACTGCGGCTTTCATGGATGTTGATTTTATACTCCTGTAAAATTACATCCTTTACAATTTCAATCTTTTCTCTGTTTATCATGCTCTTGCTTATTGGTCTAGTTGTATTAGTTTCCTTTTGTTGAGGTATAATTCATATTGAGGTAGTCATTGATCTTCAGAGTAAGAGCTTCAATTTGTCTTCACTGTCAGCCAGAAAAAGTTGTGTCAGCCTCATTTCACAGATTTTTAATCAATCTTTCTCCAATCTTGATTCTGTGTTCTTCCGTGTATAGTTCTTCTTCACTGTAATGAAATAATGTGAACTACAGTAAAATTTATTCTTACAACAGAAGTTTTCCCTTGTCAGTTGCTCTTATCGTCTTCCTGTAGAGGATCATGGAGGTATAGAAGAATACTTTCTAAATGGTTATGTCTTTGATTTTAAATCTTAATGGAATAGATGTATGTGTATAGAACTGTATTGTGTCAAAATTTTACATCACAAATTTAATATTTGCATCTCTTATCTTCATCTCATGACTTAAGTGGTTCAGAAAAAATGGTCATGCCCAATGCCCATCTGGATACAATTGGACATCCCCTCACAGAGGGGTCATAGGGAAGAGATGACCCAGTCAGGGTACACTATAGCATCGATGAAACACACAACTTTCCTCTAGTTCTTTGGTGCTTCCTTCACCCCACTATCATGATCTCAATTCTATCTTAATAAATTGGATTAGACCAGAGCATGCACACTGCTACAGATAAGAGCCCAAATCACAGGAAATCCAGG